TTGCCCGCCATAGTTGTCATGAACTGTCAAATTAAATCAGTCAAGCATAGTACTTTTGTACTCATCAATGAGAGAAAAAACTGATGCATCTAAAAATCATGATTGCTATCAGAGTCGAAGGAGAACTACCTATGAGTTCTCTGTTAGCTGTGAAATAGCCAGGTAGATGTGCTTTTGCCTTTGTTATTCAAGATTGCCTTGACTTATGCTGACCTAGGCAAACTTAATCTTTGATAAAAGGGTGGCATATTCATTTGATTTACACCTTGCGCTCATTATCACCAAAGTGGAGATTCATCTATCAGTTTGATCAGGGAAAATTCACCTACAAAATGCGGTTGAATCGGACAGCATGGCCGCACTTTTTGCAAGAGTATTATGCTGTCACTGTTATTCGCAAGTCAGTGGCGTGCTATCTGTTTTTCGGTTGGCTGCCTCAAAGCAACGTGGAGTAAATTCAATACTCACGAGAATTCATGGCTGAGGCAAAGATTGCCCCATTGGGCATTCCCACCTGGCACTACCGCGGTTCGAAACTCGACCTCGTTGCCACTATGACTCCAGAGCCTTTTTTCAGCGAGTGTACGAGCAGAGCTGCAAAGTTTAGTGGTTAATAAAAAAGATATTGGCATCACCCAAAGGAGATATTATTCAAAGGTTGCATTCAGTTATGAAGGTGGACAAAAGACAAAAGATATGTTAAATGTCTTCAAGGCGAAAAGTGGGCACAACGCCATAAGTGCCACAACGATTGCATCAACATCATCATCGTCTACAATCGCTGCTTCTTTCGGGTCGCGAAGGATGACACACCAGGAAGTGCTTCCGACGATCCTGTGCGAGAATCTGAGCTTCGGTAAAAGACAACTGGAGTCTGGAACAGACTACTTCCATATGTTTGCACCAGGTTAAACTTGGCCGTTCCCTGGGCCTTCCGCCGTACAGTTGGACAGAAATTAATTATTCCGTTCTGGAGGCTTTCGCAACATATGCCCAAACCATTGGCCCTCTGTCCTCTCAATCTGAAGAAGCAGCGACTGTGCTCAAAGCTCTCGCTCATTTCTGAACTCCAGACCATGTCGAGACACGAATGGGCAGCGATTCGTCTCAAAAAGCCCATATCAGCAGCTACTCCGGGTTCGAAGCCTTACAGTCAACGCTGACTACTCATCATCATACGAAAGCACACGGATGAAGATCGAGTTGAACACCGAGAGTTAAGTTTACAGACTGAGCTCTGCTTTAGTCACAATGGGTCAGGCTAGTTCACCCAAGAACGCTACTGGCTACTCCAATTCGCCGGTCGATCTCTTCCACGAATTTCCCATCACTACTACATAGTAC